TTTTTACCCAAGATCAAAACTAACGCTATAAAGATTCCAGCTTATTCTTTCGAAGATACGATATCATATCAAATTATCCAGGTTTTTTTTTTTTTTTTTTTTTTTGCCGTTTTTTTACGCTAAAGCTTGAATGAAGCGGGACAGACTTTTTTTTTTCGCCTACGTTAGGGAAAGGGCCCCAAGGGTTGAGATGCGACGTCAAGGCCCCACTATTATATTATATACAGTATTACAGACTTGAGCCCCTGTGTGCAGTACCGGTACTCACTCCTCCGGTCACGAGATGTGCATGTCGTGGTCGTAGGTAGACAGACCAGAGAGAAATTTGCGGGCGAGCGAGCGAGCGAGCGAGCTTTGGGCTTTTGGCTTTTGGCTTTTGGCTTTTTTTGGAAGTCACGTAGGTTGGTTAGGTAAGGGAGGTTAGGTAGGTAGGTAGGTAAGGTAGGTATGATGCTGGCTACCAGACCAGTTAGTTACCTAGTTTGTTCGTTTGTTCATGGGGGTTGGGAAAAGTGCTATTTTTTTATTTTTATTTTTTTGGATTTCTCTCTCTGTGTGTGTGGCTGGGTTTTATGATGATCTATCTATCTATCTAGTTCACTATCCCTACGAGCCAGCATGTGTTTTTATTTCTTCAAATTTTTTCCTTTTTCAATTTTTTTTTCTTTCTTTCGGTTCCAAGTTTTGGCTTTTAAGAGATGCGACCCGAGATGAGATGAGTCCTTTCCGCTCTCGGCGCGGCTCAGTCAGCGAGGCGCGTCCTCCTTGTCCTCCGTCGTCGGCTCGGCGTCGATCTTGATCTCGGGCGCCGTGAGCACCGCGGGCGGCGGCGGCGGCGGCGGCAGCGCCTCGATGCTCTGCTTCTCGGCGCCGCGGACGTCCTCCGGGTCGGGGGTCTTCTTCCGGCGGAAGCTCGGCAGCTTCCTGTAGACGCGCCTGATGCTCCGGAAGAGGAGGATGACGGGGCGCATGACGAGGCGGGCGACGCGCTCAAACCAGGGGTCGGGGAAGAGGCGGATCAGGACGCCCATGGGCCAGGAGAAGGAGGCGAGGACGAGGCAGATGGCCCACTGGGTGCCGTCGATGCGGGTGATGGCGAAGGCCTCGCCGCCGATGTAGACGATGGCGATCTGGGCGCCGACCATGATGCAGTTGATGCCGATGAAGAAGAAGTTGTGCTGCAGGCCGGCGAAGATGTTGAACCGGTTGTCGAGCCGGCGGTTGTTGAACTCGTTGAAGATCTGCATCCAGACGAAGGTGTTGAAGATGACCGTGTTGAGCTCGAGCTGCTTCTCCGGGATCGACGTGTCGTAGGAGAGGATGGAGGCCCCGGCGAAGTAGAGCGTGAAGGTCACCGCCAGCTGGAAGATGGCCTGGCCGATGATCATCTTCCACATGTTGACCGTGATGAGGGGCGCCTTCTTGCCCGCGGGCTTGCGGTTGAGGATCTCCTCCGTGGGGGGGTCGGTGGCGAGCGCGAGCGCGGCGAAGACGTCCATGATGAGGTTGACCCAGAGCAGCTGCACCGCTTTGAGCACCGACTCCATCGTCGGCGACTCGACGGCCGAGACGAAGGTCAGGGTTACGGCGGTGACGTTGACGGTCAGCTGGAACTGCAGGAACTTGGCGACGGCGTCGTTGACGGCACGCCCCCACATGAGGGCCTTGACGATCGAGGCGAAGTTGTCGTCCATGAGGATGATAGCGGACGCCTCCTTGGCAACCTCTGTTCCCGCGATCCCCATAGAGAAGCCGACGTCGGCGGCTTTCAGGGCGGGCCCGTCGTTGGTGCCATCCCCGGTCACGGCCACGGTCTCGTTCATGGCTCTGAGCCTCTGTACCAGGATCTGCTTGTCCTGTGGCGAAGAGCGAGCGAGCACTGCCAGACGCGGAAGCATGGCCGTCATGGCCTCGTCGGAAAGCTTGCGGAACTCGGGTCCTTCCATGACGATGTCGTTCTCATCGTGACCACTGACGATGCCGCACTCCTTCGCGATAGCTCGCGCGGTGACGACGTTGTCACCGGTGACCATGCGGACCTTGACACCGGCGAATTGGCACTTGGCGACGGCCTCCGGGACACCTGGTCGGACGGGATCTTGGATACCAACCACACCCGAGAAGGTCATGTCCGCGAAGAGCGGGTCGAAGTCGGCGGCGGATGGATCTGCGGCGGACTGTGTCCCCGCTGGGGGCCAGGACGGAAAGTCCTTGTAGGTAAGGCCGATGGTACGGAGGGACTTCTGAGCGTACATATTGATCGTCTCGGTGATTCGCTCCTTTGGCGCTCCAGAGATGTCCGAGACGGCTCCGGTAGTGACATCCGCGATGGACGAACAAGCCTCGAGGACAATCTCGGATGCTCCCTTTACGAAGAGTCGATATTGGTTACCATGTTTGATGGCGGCCCCCATACACTTCTTGTTGGAGTCGAAGGGGAACAGCTGAACGACCTCGACGTTTGCTCGCTCGTTGGAGAGCGTGTCCATGGCGAAGTGTTCTTTCGCGAAGTTCAGGAGCGCCATTTCAGTCTTGGATCCGATGAATGTGGGAACCCCGTCTTCGACACCCTCGAAAGCGGTTGAGTTGATGGCAATCGATCTGACAATCATCTCTTTCACATCCTTGGGGACCTTGGCGGAAAAGGTGCTGGCCGTGCTAGCGTCAAACTCATCTTTCCCGAACGTGCCTGCGACCACGGCCATCTTGTTCGTCGTGAGGGTACCGGTCTTGTCCGAGCATACCGTGGTAGCATTACCCATGACCTCGCACGCTTTGAGGATTCGAACAAGGTTGTTCTCCTTCATCAGACGAGTGGTACCGAAGGCGAGGGCCAAAGTGACAGCGAGAGGGAGACCTTCCGGGATTGCGACAACGATGACTGTGATGGCCGTAATGAGAATGTCGGTAAAGACGGAGGCCTTCTCAGACCCGGTTCTGGTATCGCCATCAAGTTGGCCGAGGAATCGGAACAACAGAACGAAGAAGAGCAGGGTTGCGGCACTGTCTACATTTAGTATGCGAGTAATCACATGAGAGAAGGGAAACTTACGCCGTTCCCAGCTTAGCGATTGCGGCGGCCATTTTCCCCAGCTTGACCTGAAGTGGCGTTTCTTCCGACTCGGTTCTCATCGACATCATGATCTTGCCAAAACTCGAGTTGACACCGACCGACGTCACAAGATAAGTGCCGACACCCTCCAAGACTTTGGCACCAGAAATGATGAACGGATCCAGGTTCTTGGGGTTGCTGTGGCCTTCTTCCAGGAGTCGAGATACTTGTAATCCACCTGTCTTCTTCAGAGAGTCGGATTCACCAGTTGCTGAGGATTCGTCACATTTCACATTGTGGCCCGAGATGAAAATCCCGTCTGCAGGTACTACGTCCCCAGGCTAAAAACAACATTAGCGGACGGGTAGGTTGCGGAGACGAAGTAGAGGCGTACCTCGAGATGTATCACATCGCCGACGAGGACGTCGTATATATTTATTACCGTGGAAGTACCGCTACGGATAGCCTTAACCTCACGATCCTCTTTCTGGATTGTCGCTGTCAGCACTGTTCAGGAGTCCCTCGGTTGAGGAGAGAGAGAAAACGAACCTTTGCATTAAGCTTCACAAAAGCCCTTTCCTTTTGCCAATCATTCAAACCTCCGACTATAACAACGACAAGAATGGCACAAATAATCGCTACACCTTCGACCCATTTCGTATCTTTTCCAGAATCTGATCCACCCTCGGAAGAACTCGAATCCGTCCGGAACGTCTCGTAGAGCTGATCGACTGTTAGCGGCTGAAAAGTCTAGCATAGTTTGCTGCGCTCACCCCAAGAGATAAACTGATGACTGCAGCACCAGTCAACACCAACAGGACTGTATCGTTGTAGGCCATCCACATCAATTTCCACAACGGCGTAGCCTTTTTCGCCGGAATAACATTTCTCTTAAAAATTCGTATGCGATCCGAGAACGACCCTGGTTGCCCGCCAGCAGACTCCAACGTTGATGGGTTATCATCGCCCTTGCCTTGTTGCGATCCGGCGACCTCGTCGAAAGTTACGCTGCCTTCGAGATCCCCCTCGTCGATACTCAGCCCGGACTCGATGCTCGTTCTCAAGCCGCGCTCGATGCCGCGCAGACCTCCCAAAGCCGTGAACGCCGCCAGGGATTTGGGGTTCAGCAACTTGTTCATCTGCCCCGGGCTGAACGCAAACTTGTTATTCTCGACCTCGAAGTCGGCCTCGCTCCCGGGATCTGGCGCTAAGGCATCCGCGTCCCCCACGGTTACACTGGAGGCCATACTGGCGCCTCCCGGAGTCGGAGGTGCTAACAATGTTTGATCACTTTGTGCGCTGAGGAAAGAGGTGTCTGACGGTGCTCGTTGACGGCCGGCGGATTTTTCGTCTTCGTCGTTTGGGACCTGGCCGGTCGTCAGCCTTGCACGGTAGGCAGCTAGACAGACTTTGAGCGGATTGTACTTACAGAGAGGCCGCCCGTTTGCGATCCTGGAATGCCTAAAGACATAGCGATGTCAGGGTAAAATTGGCACTGGCTTAGAGTGGGTTAGGGACTCGGGAGGATCGATGGTCGACCCCAGCTCCTTATCTATATGTTTAGGAGGTGCAGCGCAAAAAAAAAAAGGGCGACGCGGTTGGAGTGGGCGTGGGCGCGAGACTCGTAACTCTCTATATGGTCAAAGAGAGCACAGCCCGGGGCTAAGATGGTTTGCCAGAAGCCAAGGCTCCAAAATGCCTCATTACCTGGAGAATACCGCCTCAGTACTTTCTAAGTACTACTCCGTACGTAGTACAAGTACTAAAAGGCAGGAGAGGTGGGTTCAGTCTCGAACTTGCCCTCGGCCGATAGGATGAACGAACCTGCAACACGGGAGGGGACTGAGTAATGGTCTCCTGCTGCAGTTTCCGCAGGGAGACAAAGAGAGCCAAGCAGACTATTGGAAATTTGCCAATGATCAGAGGCAGGTTGACAGTACCTTAGATGTGGATTTGACAGCTTGGGCCATGCTTAGCGAGGCCTCGCCAAGGGAGGCGAAGTAAACATAGCCCCTTCAGCGACTCCTTGGCACGTGATTAGAGTTTTGTAGAGGCAGGTTCGGGACAGCGATCCCTGCTGACATTGGCTGGATGTGGGTTCCGGTCCGTCGTTAAAACGATACAAGACCTCTGCCGAGCGGGTAGCTCGACAACAGGAGATGCTGCTGTTGTTGACATGTCAAGCTTACCATGCAAACAACAGCAAGTTGCGTTGTACCTAGGTACAACGGAAGTTCAACTACTCCGCAGCACGGAAGTCGGTGGCGCGTTCCCCAAGCTTTGAAAGCCATCTTCAAGGTCCCATCCCGAGGCCCACGTTGTCGGCGGAGCTTGATTACGTGACAGACCTCGGTTGGAGTGGTGGACAGGAAAATCAGGAGGCGGAAGGAATCGATGGATTCAAGTAGGTACTAGGCATCATGTGACCCTCCATAACGTCAACCCAGCTGCTCCCTGTGGGCGCAGAGCCTCAGCCGAAGGAGTGGCCAGTCCGAGTGCCTTCTCGCCAGGTGGAATTACTGCAATTACGCGTGCAATCTGTTCGCGGGCTCGTCGATCTGTTCCTGGAATTCTGATGTATCCTTGTCCAGCTGGCTTCAAGTACTAGCGCTGAGGCTGAGGCTACTCGTTTCTTGCCTCTTTGCCACTGTTTTGTTTTTGTCATTGTCTTGCGCGTTGTATGGGATAATTTGGACGTGGTGGCTGCTGGACTTGGGGCAGTACTTACTTGCATTGCTCTCTCCACAGTATGATGGCCGTGTACAGGCGAGGAGATGCTGCTGAGTATCCGCGGGGTATCATCGGTCATATAGGTACAGTCAGGATAACCATAAGCTTGGCCATATCTTCTCGGACACACAGAGTTGAGGATATACATCCCTCAATTTATCGGGGCTGTATCAGAATCAGACGATCGGCTGCCGCTGAGATTTGAATTCAGCCAACTATGAGCATTGTCGAACAAATATCAGTCCTTCCTCCAATGTGAAAACTTTTTTTTTCTCATTAGTGCTCTTCATTCGTCCCTCAGAAGATGTCCAGTCTCGCCCCTTGCAGCAACGATTTCGGCAAATGGAAATACCAGGAGCCGCCATTATTCCCCGCGTTGCAGGCATCCTCAGCGAATTCCTAGTGACGGTCCATTTGATACTCACAGCAGCGAGAAACAATTCCGCCTGTAGATGTTGAGCAATTATGCCGGTCGACGTTACATCAGGCTGACATTTTGATGCACATCGCGCTCGGTTGAGATGCGGGCAGCGGGCAGCTATCTGCTGATGCCAGCTTTACGGAGTATATAGGAGAGCATGCAATCGCCCATGTTTTCGATTCCGTTTGCAACGAAAGAAATCGTTCATATAGCAAGATCGCGCCGAATGGAGTCCATCAGCAAGGGAGATACCACTGGGCTGAACATGTCAGTAAGTAAAGATCTCTTCAAGCCCGGACAATTTCATCATGGAGTCAATCGAGTGGGGATGACCTTGATGAGAAGCGAGTTAGACGGCGCATGTATATTCGAATTGTCCCGACAGTCTTGTGCTTGTATCTTCTGTGCTTCATCGATCGGTAAGTGAGGGTGAGACTGACTCCGAATCACGACTAATGATGCGAATTTACAGAGCAGATATTGGGTATGACTTATGTCATCGAGACGTACGTCTGACGAAGCTCATTCGGGGATCGGGAATGCTCGAATCCAAGGAATGACCAAAGAGCTGCATCTGGCCGGTCGGTAACTTCAGGTTCAACTGGGCTCTCTCCATCTTCTACTTCTCCTACTTGGTAGTGGAAATCCCATCAAGCATTCTGCTCAAGAAGGTAGGAGGACGGTAAGCGGCGGTCGGAATCATCGCCGTGTTTACGCTGAATTCTGAAGATGCTACGTCCCGTCGCTTCGGCTGACTCCGGTCCGGCCTTGACTCTTGTCGCTACGCGACGTGAACAGCTCGCCCTTGGCTAGCTACAGCAGTCTGTACCTGCTTGACTCTCTCTTTTGTGGTTTTCCCTTGATGAAAGGTTTCTTTCTATGTGATCCATCCTATCTGTAGGGGAAGGGCGCATGCGACAGTAGCCCTCGCTACAGCACTTTGAATTGCTTTCTGGGGCCTTCTTGTATGTAACTCCTTAGCTTAGCACGTCGCCGTACCCCATGGGAGGTCCTAGGGCGGCAGGCTTCGCCTGCTACCCGCCCGACGTAAATAAATACAACAACAACAACAACAACTACGTCCCGTCGCTCGTCATCGCGTTTGGACTCGTCTCCATGTGCACGTCCTTTGTCAAAAATTATCAAGGCCTCTATGTCGCGCGATTCTTCTTGGGAATCACCGAGGGAGGCATGATGCCCGGGATGTGAGCAGCTTCTAACAAATATTTACAAATTAATTGTCCGTATTGCTGATGACAATGGTAGTGCTTTCTACTTATCTTTCGTCTACCGCCGCAACGAACTTCTCTTTCGGATAGGAATCTATGTTACAGGCGCGAAATTAGCTGGTGCCTTTGGCGGTCTGCTCGCCGCAGGACTGTCCCCCATCCCTGCCTGTAGGTGTTGGAAACGCCCTGTTATTTCCTTTTGCAATATCTCAGGATACTCAGGGATCTGCCTCACTCTTTGTTCCTCGAAAAGTAACTTACAAAAGGCGAGTGCTAACTTCATTAGGAGGTGCCTCAGGCGTGAAGATCCACGACTGGAGGAATATATTTTTCTTCGAAGGTCTCTTCACCCTCATTGTCTCCGGGCTCGGAATGCTTATTCTTCCATCTACCCCCGACAGGTGCAAGTTCCTTACCCCGAAAGATCGCTACATCGCCCTGGAGCGGATCAATCGCGAGCACAAGGAGTCGGCAAAGGAACCCACCACCAGACACCATGTGAAGCGCGCGATCTTTAACCTCGACAATCTCATATGTGCAATGGGTTGGTTCATTAATTTTCCGTGCAATCCTCCTCGCTGTTCCTGCCGACGATCCTCTCTAACCTCGGCTGGACCAATCTGAAAACGCAGTTCTACAGTGTACCACCGTACTGCATGGCTTGCCTGTTCGCCACCTTCGTTGCCCGCATGATTGACAAGTTTAAGCGCCGCGGGATCTTCATTGTTGGCGGAACGATCCTCAGCACCATAGGCTACGTCCTCCTGATAACATGCAAGTCGAACTCCGTGAAGTATCTGGCAGTGTGAGTGGTCCGCCTCCTCTACTACCACGGACGGTGCTTACTGATCACCTCGCCCACAGGTATTCAGTGCCGCTGGTGCTTTCCCCCAAGGCCCGGCATTTCTCGCCTGGGGTCTCAACAATGCCGCTGGCTCTTCGATCCGTGCTGTCAGCGGCGCTTTCATCGTCGCGCTGGGAAGCGGGGGTGCTTTTATCGCTACGTGGACATATCTTGAAGCGGACAAACCGGACTTCCATCGTGGGCACTACGTTTATTGGAGCCCAGCTTGTGACGTGCTCGCTGGCGTGTGTTGGCATTGCTTACAGCAAGTGGGAGAACGGGAAGAGAGGTAGGGGCGAGCGAGACGAGAGGGCCGTGGGGTTGAATGAGAAGGAAAGGATTGCGTTGGGGTATAGCAACCCCGAGTTCAGATATCACGAGTAGGGAATTGCGATGAGTTTGAAGTATATACTGGCTCATTACTCTGGCGAATGCTTTTTGAGGGTTACATACACGTATATATATATATATATATATATCTTGCAAATTGAACAGCACGGGTAGTTTTCCTGTACCAAGGATCCGAATTACAGAAAATGTGCTTCGAGTGATAACTAGAAGGAACCCAGCCACAGATACGACAGTCTTCCGGACGACTCTCTAAGTTGGTTTCAGTAATAGAGAATGGGGCCCAAGAGCTGCCCCATAATCGAGTTCCTCCAGCATGACTAGGAGAGAGCCAAAAAATCGACGATGTGGAAGAGAACCACGCCAGCAAATATTCGTATACAGAAGACAAGCGAGGCTCAACGCGAAGCCGAAAATTCACTCTGAAGTGAGAATCTGGAAGGTGATATATATCAAAACGAAATGACTACGTATCCAAAGCGAGGAGGAACTTCACCTTTGCTTCCCGAAGAACCTCACCTTTGTGACGCCGGTGCCAGTCAAGCTACGCCGGCCGATCACGTGGTACGCGGCCGATGCGCTAAAGAACTAGCGCGGAAATGAAGGTCTTTAGCGTTGCTCCCGCACCTGCCTACCTCTAGATCCTTCTCCAAACTACAACTCGACCAACCATTTACTGCATCACCTCTCCGCAGTACGACCACTTTTCCTGATCACGACTTTGGACCTCGCATCGCTTCTACAATTCTCTTATCGCGTCCAGCTGGAGAGGATGAAGAAAGAAATTCGGAAAACAAAAACATTGGCACAGGTAGGGGTATGGCGCTCGCTAATTGTTTGTAGGGCTGGAAGGTCAACACTCGATAGGGGCGCACGTATTTGTCTGTTGGATATGGATTTTGTGGCCGATAGATCAAATCCTGGAAAGGTCGACGAGGAGGATATAGGATTCTTGGAGTGACAGTGCGGAAAAGTTGTTCGCCAAGGAGGATATAGGATCCATGGAGGGACAGAATAGGAAGGAGCGGTTTTGTTCACCGAGGAGGATATGGAATTGATGGCTGGAGGATGACGTAGGGTTTATGGCTGGAAGATCGATACTAGAAACGACACTGGAAACGACACCGGAAACGACGCTCGAATTCGCCAAGGAGGATA